CATGACCCCAACAGAATGAACCCACCAGGCAAGGTAAGCAATTAAACAGAGGAGAAAAAGGGGGGACTAACAACAGGAAAATAACATAACAAGGATAATTAAATACACATCAGTTATAACCAACCATGTTAGTGGTTTCAATTCACCAATCAATATACACAGACTAGAAGAATGCATGAAGAAGCAAGATCCAATAACATGCTGCATACAAGAGACACATTTAATTCAAAAAAGAAATTCATAGATTGAAAGTCACCAAAGAGTGAAGAACAATATTCCATGTGACAGGAACCCAAAAATGTAGGGGCAGCTATTCCATTTGTAGCCAAACTGGACTTCAAGCCAAGACTGACTAAGAGAGACAAGAAAGCTACATCCTTATAAAGGGAACCATCCAAGAGGAAAGGATAACAATCATAAATATATGCCAGTGCATCTAACTATACAAAACAAATATTAATGGACATGAAAAATCAAATAAACACTAATAAAATTGTAGCGGAGTAACTCCATACCCCACTGTCACAAGTACATCAATCAACTAGACAAAAAATTAACAATGAAGTATTAGAACTGAACCAAACTTTTGAACACATGGACTCAGTAGATGTCTGCAGTGTTACACACCACATCAGAATACAGATACTTCTCAGCTGCACACGATGTACTCTCCAAAATAGACCACATACTAGCTTGCAGAACATGCTTAAGTAAATGCAAAGGAACTGAAATTATCCCATGCATATCACCAGACTATGGTGCAATGAAACTGGAAATCAAGGGCAAAAGAAAACACGTGGAAATTAAATAATACCCTCCTGAACAACCAATGGTTCATGCATGAAATTAAAGAACAAATTAGACTCTACAATTAATAATACCAATACCATGTACTGGAACTTATGGGAAATGAAAGAGTTCTACAAGGGACATTTATAGCAGTGAATAGCCATATCAGGAAAATAGGGCAAGATTAAATAAACATCTTAATACTGAACCTCAAGCTTCTAGAAAAAGACAGCAAGTCAAGCCCAAAGCTCATAAAAGGGAAGAAATTCTAAAGATCAGAGCAGAAATTAATGCAATGAAACTAAGAAAATACAAAGAATCAATGAATCACAGAGTTGGTTCTTTGAAAGATTAAATAAAATCAACAAACCCTTAGCCAAACTTATTTTTAAAAAGGAAAATAAAGACTCAAAAAACCCTCATATCTACACAATTAGGACTAAGAAAGGTGAAGTCACAATAGATAACACAGAAATCCAAAAGATCATCTATACCTACTTTGAGAACCTGTACACTAATAAAATAGAAAACATACAATGGGCAAATTCCTAGATACATATGAATTACCAAGATATAAAAATCCTAAATAAACCAGTATCTATGAAATTAAAGTTGTAATTAAAAATCTACCAACAGAGAAAATCCCAGGCCCTGATGGATTCACTGCTGAATATTACAAGACATGTAGAAATGCCACTACTTCTCAAACTGTTTAATGAAACTGAAAGGGAAGCAACATTCCCAAATTCATTCCTGGAAGCAAGCATTACTCTGATACCAAAACCAGAGAAGGACCCAACCAAAGAAGAGAACTATAGGTCAATGTCCTGGTGAACGTAGATGCAAAAATCCTCAGTAAGATACTGGCAAACAGAATGCAGCAAATCAGGTCTGGGGATATAGCTCAGCAGCACAAGCACCTGCTTGGCAAGCACAAAGTCCTGAGTTTGATTCCTGGTACCAAAAACAAAACAAAACAAAACAAAAAAACAAACAATGCAGCAACTCATGAAGATTATACTCCATGACCAAGTAGGATTCTTCCCAGGGATGCAGGGATGGTTTTGCATATACAAATCCATAAATAAAATGCACTATTATTATTATTATTTGGTACCAGGAATCTAACTTAAGACCTTGCACTCAACATACAGGCACTGTGCCATTGAGCTATAGCCCCGGACAAATACACCATATTAACATAGCGAAGGACAAAAATCATATGATCATCTAAATAGATTTTAAAAAGTGTTTGACAAAGTCCAACACTCACTCATGATAAAAACCCTACAGAAAATTGGAATAGCTACATCATACTAAATAGACAAAAACTGAAAGCCTTCACTCTAAAACCAAGAACAAGAGAAGGATGCCCACTGTCACCAGGCTTATTCAACAGGGCTCTGGAAACCTGAATCAGAGCAATTAAGTAAGAAAAAGAAATAAAAGGAGTAAGGACAGGAAAGGAAGAAGTTAAATTATCATTATTCGCAGATGACATGATACTCTACATAGAAGACTCCAAAAACTCCACCAAAAGACTTCTAGATTTAAAAAGCAAATTTAGCAGCATAACTGAACACTCAAAAATCAATAGCCTTTCTATAGATGAATGACAAATTCACTGAGAAATTATAGAAACAGCTTTTATAACAGCATGGAAAAAATGAAATACTTACGAAGAAAATAAAAGACCTCTACATTGAAAAATACAATACTCTGAAAAAGGAGATTGAAGAGGATATCAGAAAACGGAAAGATCTCCCTTGCTTTTAGGTAGGAAGAACCAATATAGTGAAAATGGTCATACTTCCAAAACTGTTACAGAGATTTAATGCTATCCCCATCAAAATTCCAACACCATATCTCACAGAATTAGAGAAAATAAATCTAAATTCATTTAGAACCATAAGAGACCTAGAATAGCAAAGGCAATCCTAGGCAACAAAGGCAAGGCAGGGGGCATCACAATCCCTGACTTGAAACTATATTAAAAAGCTACTGTGATAAAAACAGCAGGGTACTGGCAAAAAAAAAAAAGACCTCAGGATCAATGAAACAGATTAGAAGATGCACAAGCAACTTCAAACACACTCAGCCACATAATCTTTGACAAAGGGGCCAAACACATTCACTGGAAGAAAGCCTCTTTAACACATGATGCTGGGAAAACTGGCTTTTCACATGCCAAAGGCTAAAACTAGACCCAGGCCTGTTGCTATGCCCTAAAGTAAAATTGAAAGGGACCAGAGCTCTAAATACTAAACAGAAACACTAGCTGGGTGTGGTGGCACAGGCCTGTAATCACAGCACTCAAGAGACTGAAGCAGATGGATATCCATGAGTTCAAGGCCGGTCTGGGCTACACAGACTTCAAAATCAGCCTGAACTATGTAGCCAGACTATGTCAGAAAAAGAGAAACACTAAGTGTGCTGGAAGAGAGACTAGGTAGAACTCTTTAAGACATAGGTGTAGGCAAAGACTTTATAAACAAATCTACAATTGTATGGGAAATACTGCAAAGAATCAACAGCCAATGGGTACCTCTTATTAAAAAGCTATTGCACCGCAAAAGAAATCATCAGAAGAATGCAGAGACAACGCACAGAATGGGAAACAGTCTTAGCCAATTGTTACTCAGACAAAGGACTAATATCTAGAACGTACAAAGAATTGAAAAAGATCAGACACCCTCCAAATTTAAAGATTCAATCCAAATGAGGATTTGAGACAAACACACACTTGGTATATGAAGAAGTACAAACAGCAAATAAAAATATGAAAAAATGTTCAACCTCACTGATCATTCAAGAGATACAAATGAAAAGAAAGCTGAGGTTCCATCTCACTCCAGAAAGAATGGCTATTATCAAGAAATCAACTAATAAACGTTGGTGAAGCAGTAAGGAAAAAGGAACACTTTTCCACTGTTGGTGGGAGTATAGAAGGATGTAACCTCTGTGAAAGTCAATGTGGAGATTCTTCAAAAAACTAAAACTAGAAGTCCTGTTTGACCCAATTAGCCCCCTTCTAGGTATCTCCCCACAAGAATTAAAAACATCATACGAAGGCAATATATGTGCACCCATCTTTATACTGGCAGTTTGTAATAGCTAAATCTTAGGAACAATTCAAATGTCTATCGACTGATGAACAGATAAAAACGTAATTTTTATATACAACGTAGTACTACTCAGCCATAAAGGACACACTAAGACATTTATAAGAAAATGGATGCACCCTGAGTCCTCGCTCTTAAGTGAAATAAATGACATGTGTAAATATCACATTGTCTCTCTGGAGTGAAAAACAGTATAAATAAGAACCAAAATATATAACAGAAACTGTGAAATGGAATAGGAAAAAAATTATTCAAAAGGAAAATTGAACTAGGAAAGAAAGGAAAGGAAAAGAAAAAATGAGAAAAAGGACAAAACAGAAACAAAGCTTTATAAATAAGGAAAGGAAGAGAGGTTGAAGGGAGGTAAAAGGAATGGGGAAAAAATGACAAATTTCCTATGATGAATGTCATCATTATATCTAAATTGTACCAAAAATCTTAATTTTTAAAATACCACAATTTTTTAAAAAATGTTATTCAGTGTCAATTATGGGAAAGTCACACAATAATTCCTTAATTTTAGGGGCTGGGGATTTAGCTCAGCGGCACAGCACCTGCCTGGCAAGCCCAAGGTCATGAGCTTGATTCCCAGTACCGGAAAAACAAAACAACAACAACATAAAAAAAAAATTCCTTAATTTTCAGAGTAAGTTCCTTGTGGTTTTATTTACATATTAAAACAAAATAAAAAACCTCACACAACATCATGGAGAAGTCAGGTGTTCATATCTGAGATTTTCACACTATTTTATAAATACAAAGCTTCAAATCTGGAATGTGGCTTTCTGTGAAATGTACTTTCTACAGGAAATGTTCCCTGATTTAGTAAACCTCAGTATGAATATCCCCATCTTCACAATGACACCTATGTTTGGTACATTCACTTCTCCTCATTTGTCATTCTCTTCTCTGCAGATTTGGGTACCTGGCCCCTGGCAGGGTTCACACATTGTGGACTTATCCCAAAGGACTGCTCTCTGCACTTGACTTTTTTGGCATGAATCTATTTTTAGCATGTCCTGCCTGTAACTCTGTACAGCCTGAGGGCTCTCTGATGCCCACTCCTGTGAGAAGGTTTTCAGTGCTCACTTCACCACTTGCATGTCGCTCTTGTGTGTTTTCCTATGGATGCGAAGCCCTGAGTTCCAGCAGAAGGACTTCCCGCACTCAAAGCACTTCCACGGCTTCTCTCCTGTGTGCACCCTCTGGTGTTCACTGAGGGAGGACTTCTGAGTGAAGGCTTTTCCACACTCACTGCATTTGAAAGGTTTCTCTCCTGAGTGGGTTTTCTGGTGAATCTGAAGGGATGCCTTTCTTGGATAGGCCTTTTCACACTCACTGCACTCATAGGGCTTTTCTGTTGAGTGGGTTCTCTGATGGATGATAAGCTGTGACTTCCCACAGAAGGCTCGTTCACACAAGCTGCACTCATAGGGCCTCTCCCCAGTGTGCGTCCTCCGGTGAATAACGAGGTAGGACTTACTGCTGAAGGCCTTCCCACACTCACTGCACCCATAGGGCTTCTCTCCTGCATGAGCTCTAAGGTGAGCAGTAAGCTGTTCCTTCCTCCCAAAGGCTTTCCCACACTCACTGCATTGATAAGGGTTGTTTCCTGTGTGGACACCCTGATGCACCACAAGCTGTGTCTTCATGTTGAAGGCTTTCCCACAGTCCCCACACTGGTAGGGCTTCTCTCCTGTGTGCATTCGGACATGAACCAGGAGATAGGACTTGCTTCTAAAGGACTTCCCACACTCATTGCACTTATGTGGTTTCACTCCAGTGTGAGTTCTCTGGTGTACAACAAATGGGGACTTCAAGCTAAAGGCTTTCCCACATTCACCACATTCATAGGGCTTCACTCCTGTGTGACTTCTCTGGTGTAAGATGAGCTGAGACTTCCAACTGTAGGCCTTGCCGCACTCACTGCACCCATAGGGTTTCCCTCCATTGTGGACTTCCTGGTGGACAATGAGCTGTGACCTGAAAGAGAAGACTTTCCCACACTCACTGCATGAGTAGGGCTTCTCCCCTGTGTGAACTCTCTGGTGGGCATTGAGGTTAGACTTGGCACTGAAGGCTCTCTCACATTTAGTGCATTCATAAGGCCTCTCCCCAGTATGGATTCGGAGATGGACGATGAGCTGTGACTTACAACGGAAAGCTTTCCCACATTCATTACACACACAGCTTTTCTCTATGTGATGAACTCTTTGATGTTTAAGAAAATATGATTCCTCGTAACCACGAAATTTATCAGGATTCTTTCTTATATAACTTCTGCTTAAACCTGAGTTTTTCATCAAACTTCGCCCATGTGTATTATACTTATAGAGCCTCTGTCCTGAAGAAACATGGGTTTTGCTTAGATGAAGTTTCCCGAGCACATTGCATGCATAGCTTCTCTCAACACTTTCAAGTTCATCTTGATTTTTCTGGTACCATTCTTCCCAACCTTTTAGGAGGAAAAAAATACAAAACCAAACAGAGTTTTTAAATTCTGCTATAGAATTGAAGTATCTTTAAAATACCCATAGTAGTATTACGTCAGTGGTAGAGCACTTGGCTAGTATATGTTAGGGCCTTTACTTCAACCCATAAACACGCCCCCCCCCCCAAAAAAAATGCTGTAATGAGTTTTCTTCTTTTTTGGGATAACAGACCTATGATATGTGATCAAATGAAAAACTGGCCAACCGAAGGGGCAAGAGTACTGAGTTAAACGAAACTAGGTCTTCTCCTATGAAGTGGCAGTGAATTAATGGTAGTAGAAAAATGTTTTTGAAAGGTTTTTAAAAGTTGAGTGGTGGCTCATGCCCATATCCCAGCACTCTGGGAGGTTTAAGCAAAAGGATTATGAATTCTACCCCAACAAGGGCAGTTTAGCAACTTAGAGAGACCCTCTCTCTAAAAAAAAAACCACAAAGGAGCTGGGGATATAGCTCAGTAGAAAGGCCCAAGGGTTTTTAAAAAATTTATCCCTGCATTTAAAGGCCAACTCCCTATTTTATATCTGAATTACATGAAACACAATAAGCAGGGCAAGGCCTTTAGGTCTGGAGACAATGAAACATTAAGGAGAGTGGATGAGCTACAAAAGTTAACACTCCAAACAGAGGAAACACCAAGCACACAGTTCCTAAGGACGGAGACTGCTTGGAATGGTTTAAGAAATGGGAAAGGTCTGGAATATCCAAGACCCACAGAGTGAACAGAGGAAAACATGTAACAAATTGTGCAAGGGCATAGGAAAACACTGCCACTTTACCTAGAAGAGATCCCAATAAGTATTTCTCTTTAAAAGAACTGTTTGGTTGTTATGTAAAACTAAATAGCAAAAGGGAGGAGAGACACACTAGGAAGACCTTATAGCAGCCCAATGTGGAGCATTAATGGATTAGGCTGCACTTCTGGAGCTGACAGAAGGGAGGGTTAACAGTGGCAACAGCGAGGTGGGTTGCTCTGTGAGCTGGCAAGGGAGCATACTGGAGAAACACCAACGATGGTCTTGGGTGTGGTAATGAACACCCAAATGCCAGTGGCATGTAAACAATCAGACCTGAATTCAGCTCTCAATGAAAGGCAGGGTCAACAGTATTAAAGTAAAAGCATTAAAGGACAGGAATGATGAGACCATCCAGGGAACAAGAACTGCAGGGTAGGTGATATCCATTTTGGGGGCCAAACAGTGCTCCCATGCTGACTCTTCTGGTAAACAGGGGCAAAGGGAAACAGTAAGAAGTGAAGGACTGGCAAGCACTTGGTGTGTACAGTTAAGAACACAGGGTCCAGGCTGGGCAGTTTAGTGACTTAGACACTGTCCCCAAAAATAAAAAAGGGGGTGAGGGATGTAGCTCAGTGCAAAGGCCCTTGGTTTGATCCTCGGTACTAAATAAATAAATAAATGGCACATGATCAGCCTTTAGTATCTTCCTCCTTCTTCTGTGCATCCAAAACAGCCTCATGAGAAAATTCAGGTTACGGTCCATGAAAGTAGAGCCATTAAACTCATGCATGATGAGATTCCTAAGATTAACAGCCCAGAGAAAAGGAATCTTGGGCTTAAAGATCATATCTAGATAACTCTTTTTGCATTACTGGCCTAACAGAACTGATTAAAAAACAAAAACAAAACAAACCTCACTAAATAAAGTACGCCAGGCATGTGATCCCAGCACTTGGGAGGCTGAGGCCATATTCCCTCAAGTTCAAGGCTAGCCTGAATTACAGAGACCCTGCCTCAAAACAAACAAACAGGCCAGGTGTGGTGGCATACCCCTGTAATCTCGGCACTCCAGAGGCTGAGGCAGGAGGACTGCTGGGAGTTCGAGTCCAGCCTGAGCTACAGAATGAGGGGGTTTTTTTGTTTTTTTTCCAGTATTGGGAATCAAACTCATGACCACGTGCTTGCCAGGCAGGCACTGTGCCACTGAGCTAAATTGTCAGCCCCCTACAGAATGAGTTTGAAGCCAGCCTGAACTGCATAGTGAAACTCTGTCTCAAAAAGGCAAAAAAAAAAGAACAAAAAACTCCAAAAAAACCATAAAACAAAACAAAGCTTGCAAGCCTGTGAAGCTTAGAAGGAAACTCCAAATCTGGCCACATGAATCTATGACTTTTTAACTCTTTGCGGGGGGGGGGGCAATGGTAATGGAGATCAAACTGAGGGGCTCAAGCATGTTAAATGCTCTATCACAGAGGTACACCCTGGGTCCCATCTTCAACTCTAAATACTCTAATATGCAAGCCAGGCATGGTGATGAATGCCTGTAATCCCAGCTCTCAGAAAGTTGAGGCAAAAGGATTGCCACAAGTTCAAGGCCAGCCTGAGCTACATAGTGAGTTCAAGGCCAGCCTGAACTGCACAGCAGAACCTTGTCTCAAAAACAAATGAACACAAAACAAACAAACAAAAAAACCTTACTCCCATAAGAGTGACCTGCTGCTGAAACTAAAGAAATACCCCATGCTCTCTCAAAGTTCATCTCAGTTTAAGAGCCACAGAGGATGACAGAAAGGAAATCCTTTCAAGTAAAGTGCCAGATGTCAAATTGGCCAACCAAGGAAACTACGCCAGGGTGAGGGTCTTCCCTGATCTTTTCCTGAAGGAACTGAGGTATGCAATGAGCCAACAACAACTGTTTTCTTCCCTTCTGGAAAGAGGCATCTCCTTTGTTTGAAACAGATACCTTGCAACTATTTGACTCAGTTCATGAGGGCTTTATCCATCCCTGCTGGACAATACCACATGCATCACAGGCCTTGAAACTGCATTCTGGTCCAGAATGACAACATGTACTGCTCCCTTTTGAGAAGGGGTGATCATACCTCATAGCAATACAGGTATCTCTGAAATTGGACAACTGGAAAGAAGGCACTGCAGAGCTGATCAAGGCATATAACTGCCATTTGAGGCTATAAATTCCTTATCATTTTGCTATAATTTGGTCAGGAATTTGAGGATCTGTGCTTTCTGTAAACAAATCCCGCAACAACAGCTAAGGAGAAGATGAGAGCTCTCAAATATGTTTAAGAGTCCACACTCTCAGACAGGTGTAGGGGTGTTCACCTATAATCCCAGCATTTGGGAGGCTGAGGCAGGAGAACTGCTGTAAGTTCAAGGCCAGCCTGGGCTACATACTGAATTCACAGTAGGCTGAGCTACACAGCAAGACTCTGCCTCAACAACAACAACAAAAAAGAATCCACACTCTCCAGGTAAGAGAAAACACCGATCAACTGGTGTGGGTAACATCTGAGTAGACAAGTGGTGTCCGGTTTCAAAAAAACAAGGTACTAACAGAAACAAAAGCAGGAGAAAGATTAGAGAAGAAGGAAGAGACAGGATCCCAAAGTGAGCCACAGAGGATACAGATCTACATGCAACAGCAGCAGCATTAAGATGAGGAACAGCCTTGAGATCCAGCCCCCAACAACAACAACAACGCACACATGCATGCATGCACACATGATGAGGAAACTAGGGAAGAACGCTGTCTTCGGAAGGAAGTTCCTTCCCATTTCTGATGCCAGAGTGAGGTCTTGGAAAGTATAGGGGAGCTCTCCTGCAGATGTGAAGACCAAGTGCAGCAGAAACAGAAGAGGAAGGTATTATTTTTGATGTTAAAACAGTGGGGAGAAGGTTTCAATCTTCAGAATTAAAGAGTCTTTCAATAGTTACAACACAGGACAAGTTTCCACAGGCTAAGTGTGGAAAGCAAATCCCTTTGGTCAACTCAAAAGTGAAGGTGCACAAAAATCACTCAGTGACATACATACACCAGGTGTAAGACCATGGGTTAAGTCTAAGCAATTTAACAGTGGGAGCAAAAGGGGAAATCAAAGTAAAGAAAATAGAAGGGGATGAGCTGCACCAGTGAGAGGAAGAAGATATGCTTAGAAGGTCTTGCGCACCTTGGGAAGGAAGAAAACCAACCCAGAAGGCAGGTTCTGAGCAGAGTTCAGGGAAGAGAACCATGGCCACTTCTAGCAGCCAGGGGAGGAAAGAGAGTCCCCCATGTGAGGAATTCAGGGCTCATCTTGTCAGCCACACCCATTCAAGGGCTTTCCAGAGCTTTTGTGCACAGATGGTATGGTGCCAAGCCCTGAGGAGCAGCCAGTTTACCTCCACACTTCCCACCCTCCTCGTTCTCACTCACCCACCTGCACAGCTTGGAGTAGACATTTTGGCATTTATTATCCATGGCTCTTCTCCTTGCTCCATCTTGAAGATTAAATCAGGTTTAGTACCATGATACCCTGTTAATGGAAAAATCACAAAGGATGTGGGCCAAGCTGCTAGGGATGAGACTAAGAGCTCAGAAGCTACACAACAAAACTGATCACTTGTACTTAGAGAAAGATTACAACTAGGAGGTGAGGGCCACATGGACCAAGAATATGTGACATCTAAAGTTCCAGTTCATAGTCATAAAACACTTTTGAGGACCCAGAGCTGACCAAGGAGAAAAAGGGAGATAGCAACTCATGACTCAATCTGAGGTAGGCAGGGAAGCCACACTTACCCACTGATAAGAGGTTGCTGTAGTTTTCCAGGGTCACCTCTCTGTACAGATGCCTCTGTGCTAAGTCCAGCAGCTGCCACTCTTCCCAGGAAAACTCCATGCACACATCCTTGAATGACAATAATCCCTGCAAGAACACATACCCCATTCAACTGGATACAATTACATCAAGTGATATGGGAAACAGAAACACCTCTCCACAGCATCTTCTGGCTCAGCATTTACTTTGTAGGAGAATTCAATCAATCAATCATTGAGCCTCTACATCCCAGGTACTCTTTGTATCCTGGGTCCTGAAGAGTTCAGGCTAAGTAAAATCCGATTTTCTTACTGACACACTCTCAATTTTGTAGAGGGAAACAAACACATATACGTTCAAATGTATAATAAACAGACCTGGGTTACATTCCACAGAATTGGAGAGAAAAATTCTCAGTAAGGTCTGAACTTGGCTCTACTCAGATACTGGGGCATCTGGAGGTTCCCCAAGATGATGGGGTGGAAAGAGGAAATCAGGATGTTGTTATGATAGAGTTCGCCTACAAGTAATGAGGAAAAACAAGTGTGTAAACAAAAGAGTTCATCTTCCTACTTGCTGAAGTCCAAAAGAACCTGGGCTAGCGGGAGATCCTCTCCCAGTGTAACCCAAGTCTAAGATGGCTCTGGTACCACATCCAAATCTAAACAGCTACATGCATGAAGTCCTGAGTTCAATCTCCAGGGGTTGGAAGTGAAAGGCAGGAGAATTCAGAAATGCAGCTTGTTTCTTTTGTGCCCACTGACAAGAACAGGTAAATGGGAGAGAACCTGCACTTCCCATGCACAGGAGATGCACCCTGTAGCACACAGGCAGGGCCCAGTAAGTTCTAGCAACATCTTAGACCCAAGGCAGGGCTCCTGTGGGGAACAGGAAAGGGCCAGACTGCAGAACACACCTGTCTTTCCTGAGGAAATAACCAGGGTAAGTGACATAAATAAGAGAGCTAATAGGGCAATGTCTGAAGAAAAACAGGCTGAAAACTTTCCAGGAATGAAGACATATGGGAGTTCATATGTGAAAACCCTACCATTAAAAAGCAAGACTAGTAACCCAAAAAAGGCCCAAATTAAAGCAGATGGTAAAAAAAAAAAAAATTCCAAAAATAAAGTATAAAGAGAACATGTTAAGGACAGAACATTTCCTGAAAATAAGGTGCTAAAAAAAATTTTGATTCTAAAATCTTATACCAACCAAATTAAAAGGCAAATCTCTCTCCTATGTACACATATGCTCAGTGGTTCTCAATGGGGAGGCAAAAGATTTTGCCCCACCCTCAGGTGACATCTGACAATGTTTGGAGCCACTTAAGATTTGTCACACTGGCATAGTGGTACTAGCAACCAATACACAGGACAGCCCTCTACACCGAAGAATTATTTGGCCCCAAATGTCAAAATGGTAAGACTAAGGATCCTGGTATAGGCCTAAAAGAAATGAGCTGCCATGTCTACCTAAACACAAGTACAAAAATGTTCATAGTGAGCCAGGCATGGTGGCAGACAGTGTATTCCCAGTACTCTGGGAGCCTAATGCAGGAGGATCACAAGTTTGAGCACAGCCTGGGCAACTTAGCAAAATCCTGTCTCAAAATAAAAGAGCTGGGCATGGTGGCCCTTGCTTATCATCCAAATGATTTGAGAGGTTGAGGCAGGAGAATGTTTTGAGCCCAGTCTGGGCAACTCAGTGAGACTCTGTTTCAAAGTTTAAAAAATAAAAAAAAAAAAAGAGCTGAAAATGTAGCTCAGAAGTACAGCACTTGCCTAGCATGCATGAAGTCCTGAGTTCAATCTCCAGAGCTGGAAAAATAAATAATAAAAATTTTTTTTGAGAGAGAGAGAGAGTATCTCTCTAGTAGTTCAAGATAGCCTTGAAATCACTATGTAGCCCAGACTGGCCCCAAACTCACAGTGATCCTCCTGCCTCAGCCTCCCAAGTGCTGGGATTACAATTGTGTGCCACCATGCCTGGCTCATAAACACTTTTCTAAAAAGAAGTATCATATACTTCTGCCAAGATGTACTGACTCACGATAGGATCACAACAGCAAAGCTAACTAATCATTATCTGGAACTTCTAAAACTGGGAGCCAAAATAAATCTTTTCTCCAAAAAACAAAACAAAACACTAAATAAATGGAGATATTCTATGTTCATGGATAGGAAGATTCAATACTGTCAAGATACCAGTTTTTCCCCCTTTGATCTAGAGTTGATGCAACCCCAATCAAAATCACATTAAGGGGGCTGGGGATATAGCTCAGCAGCACAAGAACCTACCTGACAAGTGCAGTCTGGAGTTTGATTCTGTACCAAAAATAAAAACAAAGTAAAGTAATTAAAATCACTAAGTTACTTTATAGATTCAACAAACTGACTCTAAGGTTTGTATGGAAAGATGACAGAATAGCCACAAAATATTGAAGGAAAATAATAAGATTAAAGGGCTGAAACTACCTGAAAATGATCAAGACAATTGGTGACATGGCTTGTGTTTAGATGTTCCCCCACAGTTGGGGGTTTTTTCAGAGGTGGGGTTTTTTCAGAGGATCTAGAGTGTGTGATGCTAGAACTGATTCATGGTGCAATGCTAGGCTCAAGGGCACTAGGATTAAGGGCGTAAGCGCTACTCACCCTAAGCAGTCTGAATAAAATAAAACGGGCGAAAAGATGCTGTTAAGGGCCTTTGCTTGCCTGTCTTGCTGTCTTCTGCTTGCCATAAACTGGTACTCTTCTGCAATCCCCCTCTTAGAGCCAAGCCACCCTGCCTTGGAGCCAGCCTATTATAGACTGAAATCTCTACAAACTAAGCCAAACAAACCTTTCCTCCTTTAACTTTGGGTGCCAGGCATTTTGTCTCAGTAATGAAAGGAAAGTAAGACATTTGGTACTGGAGAAAGAATAGATAATTAGAACAACAGTACACAAGAGAAGGCCTGGAATTAGGTACATCAATATGCTCAGTCAGCTGATCTTTGAAAAAGGAGCAAAGGCAAAACATGGAGAAGCCAGGAATGGTGGCTGTAAAGCCAGCACTCAGGAGGCTAAGGCAGGAGGATCACTACGAGTTTGAGGCAAGCCTGGGCTACACAGTGACTTCAAGACCAGCTTGAACTACATAATGAGATCCTGTCTCAAATAACCAAAAAAAGAAAAAAAATGGAAAAAAGTCTTTTCAGCTGGACATTCACAAGCACAAGAAATAAACTCAGACACAGAGCTTAGTTCCCACATGTTGTGGTTTGTGTCCGGATATCCCCCTAAAGCCTCAAGCAGTCATGCAGCGAGCTTCTAGAGTTTATGATTGATTCATGGCCCAATGCTGGGATTATGGGTGCCAGTGCTACACCCACCCTGAGGTGAGTAGTTTGCATACAGTGTAAGGGAGGGAAAAGAGGCTGCTTGTGGCTGCTCCTCTCTTTTGCTCTTGCTGCTTCTGCTGTCTTGTGCCGCCATGAACTAATGCCCTCTGTCATATGCCACCCTGCCTTGGAGCCACCCTAGTATGGACTGAAACCTCCACAAACTGTGAGCTAAATAAGCATTTCCTTCCTTAATTTTGAGCATCAGGTATTTTGTTCCTGCAACAAGAGAAAAGTAATGAAGACACTGTATAAAAGCTCAAAATGGATCACACATAAATGTGAAACACAAACCTAGATGATGCTGATAACTTGGTAACTTTTTAGATATGACAGTGTAGGTATAATCCACAATACTGTAATTAATTAATAAACTGGACTTCATTAAAATTAAAAATGACTAAAACAAAACAGGGGCACCACCAAATGTTGATGAGCATAGAACCCAAGGCCCATGAGTTGAACACACCAGGGTTTCCTGGGCTACACTGAGTGAAGAGGAATTGTCATGGGCCACATTTAAGGTATATAATATAAGGCTGGGGATATAGCTCAGTGGCACAAGTGCCTGCCTGGCAAGCACAAAGTCCTGAGTTTGATTCCTAGTACAAAAAAAAAAAAGCCGGGCGTGGTAGCACGTGTCTGTAATCCCAGCACTCAGGAAAGTGAGGCAGGAGGATCACTGCAAGTTTGAGACCAGCCTGGACTACAAAATGAACTCAAGCCTGAACTGCATAGTGAGACCCTATCTCAGGGGG